TTTCAAATAATTGCACCTTTAAAAATTCTACGCCAATGGAAGAAAAGGAGTTTGAGTATGAAATTTAGATTGCGCATTTCATTTAATTTAAAAAAGGTACTCTAGATAAGACTCGATTACTCTCATGGTTTTCGCTAAATTTCTGTTTTAATAATTTAGAGTATATAGGTTTCACAAAAATATTTATTTACAACATAATCAAAATAGAGATTTTACAAAAATTGTTCAAAATGTTCACCATTTTCACGCATACAAAGATTTATACGTCGAAGAAAATTAAAATGTATCCTTTCCATAACTTCTTCATCATTTCTAAGATAGTTTATTGCATCTTGAATATGTTGCCAGAGTTGTTTCTCATTTTCTACAGATTCCCTGTAAACTGTGGATTTCAGATGTCCCCATAAAAAGTAATCCATCGGTGTTAGGTCTGGGGAACGTGGTGGCCAGTTTACAGGTGCGTCATTACCTCTGCTTATCCATTTGTGTGGATATTGTTCATTAAAGTTGTTTCTAACGTTTAAAGAAAAATGTGGTGGAGCTCCATCTTGCATAAACCATATATCTCTCCGAAGTTGGAGAGGTAAATCTTCTAACAATTCTGGCAACGTATTTTGTAGAAAATCCAATTAATTTTCTCCAGTTAATCTTCGTGGAAGTATGACAGGATCAACAATGATATTACCAATTATTCCAGCCCACACATTAATTTTGAATTCGTGCTGAAAATGGTTTATCTTTATTGCATGCGGATTTTCAACGGCATAAACATGTTCATTATGGCACAGCACTTGATTTAATTAACAGTTATTTAGGAAATCGTAGACAGGTCGTAAAAATTAAGGATAAAATAAGTAATGAAAAAAATTTAGTTATAGGTGTGCCACAAGGAACTGTATTAGGTCCTCTATACTTTTTGCTTTACATTAATGATCTATTACAACAGGATATTAATGGAAATATATATTGTTTTGCAGATGATACGGCCATTATATGGTCTTCTGATACTTGGGATGGGCTTAAGGATCTTGTCGAAAGAGATATGCTAAAAATACAATATTGGTTTAATCACCATTTACTTACAATTAATTTTGACAAAACCTTCTTTATTCCCTTCACAAGTTATGAAAATAATTTACCCGTGTATAATTCTTTAACCATACAAACACCAGACGGTAATTTAATTATAAATTCTACAAATTCTGTAAAATATTTGGGTATCACGATAGATTCACACCTGCGGTGGAACTATCATATTGAACAAGATATGAAAACCTTAAGAATATTATTGTTTAAATTTAGGTATTTAAGAAACATACTCACTGTCAACCAATTAAGAATCCTATATTATTCTTTAGTGGAGTCACGTAAAAATTACTGCATTATATGTTGGGGGAGCTGCGCATCTGCTCATCTTAAACCACTCGAAGTGTTGCAGAAGAGATTTATTAAAATTATTTACAATAAACCTGTATTATATCCTACTGATCTATTATTTATTGAAAGTAAATTATTTAATGTTAGGCAATTGTTTGTGTTCAGTACAATTATATTCATTTATAAAAATAAATCTATATTAAGTAATATATCCCACGAATATAATACTAGATTAAAAAGTAGAAATTGTGTTTTAGTCGAATACTCAAAAAAATCAATTGGTCAGAGAAGTTTTTCTTATTTATCAGGTAAAATAATGAATAACTTACCTGATATTTACAAATTGTATATATACAACTTAAATAATCTGAGCATGATTAAAAAATATTTTAAAAACTATCTATTGAACGAAAGATCCCTGATATATGAACTTTTTAATTAAATAAAAAAATTAAAAAAAAATCCCTTATTTATATGGTCTATACATTTGATATATATTTAAAAAAAAAATTAAAAAATCTATTACATTATTTTATATAAACATACTTTTCATTTAGCTGTATTAGTGTGAGTAAAACAAAATTAATAATCTGAATGCTTCACTGTTATATTCAAAATGACAACCTTTACACAACCTCCGGGTTCTTAGGGTTCTGTTGCTTTGTTTATTTCAAATACTTAGGTTATCAGTCACTACATAAAAAAAAAAAAAAAAATTCCATCTATAAAGCTAATTGTTCATGTATATTATTTTTCAATTTTGTAAATTATTATGAAATAAACATTATTTATTTATTTATTTATTATTTATGGGTATTAGTTATACCTCTTCTTGTAAAACCCGCTTCATTGGTAAAGAGAACCTTCTTGACAAAGTTTGGATCTCTTTCTCTTTGCATATTAACAAATCGACAAAAACCCAAACGAATTTGAGGATCATGGACTAATAATTCTTGTACTGGCTTCTTATGGTATGGATATAGCAATTGTTCTCTAAGCACTTTATGAACGACATCTTTACTTACTCCTAGTTCCCTTCCAATTCGTCTGGTGCTTAATTCTGGATCTTCTTCAACATGTTCTAAAATGTCTTCTTCAACTTCAGGAATCTTTACAAAACGTTCTCTTCCATTATCAACAGTGTTGGGAGCAAAGGAACCGGTCTCCCGAAGACGTCTCTCAACAGCATCAAAAGTTGGGTGGCTAGGTACATGATGATTTGGAAACCTTTCAGAGTACACCCTGACACTCTCTCGAGCATTTCCTTCACCAAATCCTAATGTCAGTAACATATCGGTATATTCTGCATTGGTATATTGTACAGCCATATTAATAAACCACGCATTGGTTTTTTTAATTATTGAGTCAGATAGAACACTTTCAATCGTTAACAAGAGATTAGGTGTTAAAACTTATATTTTTATTTAGATGAAACTATGGAAACCAACAATAAATGTTTTTGTATACGTATTGCAGGCAAATAATTAATATTCCTCAAAAAATCGTACATGGCAAGAATCGAGTATTTTTGTTAAAAGTCTCGATTAGAGGTGTTGAAGAAGATATGAAAAAAGTACATTTTTATATTTTTCATCGTATAAAATTTTGTTCGATAATAATACATAGGCGTAGAACTTGATTTTTTAAATAATTGCATCTTTAAAAATTCTACGCCAATGGCAAAAAAGGGGGTTGAGTGTGAAATTTGGATTGGGTACTCATTTACTACAAAAAAGTACCCTTGATAACACTCGATTTACTCTCATGATTTTGACAAAGTTTGTATTTTAATAATTATTATTTATGTTCTTAAATTACTAAAATGCAAATTTCGTCAAAACCATGAGAGTAATCGAGTCTTATCAAGAGTACCTTTTTTAAAGTAAATGAGTTGCGCAATCTAAATTTCATACTCAAACTTCTTTTCTTCCATTGGTGTAGAATTTTTAAAGGTACAATTATTTAAAAAATCAAGTTCTACGCCTATGTATTATTATCATCGGACAAAATTTTAATACCATTTTTGTTGACACATAAAACTCTACTAATACACCAAATTTCAGCAAAATCGCATATGCTGTTTTAAATTTATATGGGAAAAACGATTTAAAAATTGTAATTTTAAGGCCCTCTGGAGCCCAAACGAAGCAACTTTGTACTAAGGTAATTTTACTTAAATCGACTTATTTTGGTCTAAGGAATATGTGGTATGTTTTTGTAAAGACCTTTTACAGTATATCCAGTGATCTAATATTGTTAATTTTAATAAAGGATTTGACTCGGTTTATTAAACCTTTTTACAACTTTTTAGATATTTAAATTTCCTTCTAATCGGTTACAGCGCCTCAGCAACTTCCAACCATCTATTATTCTGCACATCTTTTGCAAAACAGCAGTCGAAAAGTTGATATTGTGGACACATCATTTTTTCAAAGCGAACGGGGGTTTGTAATACCCAACCTCTTGGAATTAGTAACTTTTTATTTTACTTATTTCTTGAGTATCTTGGAGTAAACAATTAATTATTAATTATTTGTTGATTTAATAATTTATTGTAATTTATTGAAAATGATAACGATGTAATTTACCAAGAAGATTCAAAAGGAGATAAAGAAATAGAAATAGTCTAGTAACTAGTGAAAGAAGCTGAAATAGAAGAGGAAAATGAAAAACAAACGAAGCGAAAAGTAAATATTGAATCAAACCACCGGTAGTTTCTTTTTGGGAAAAAAGGAATAAAATGGCTTAAAGAATTCACTACCAGAAACTTTCGCTCTAGAGCAGAGAATATTATTTAATACTTACTAGGAGTTACAAATTATGAAAATTGCAGAAAAACCCCATAGATGGAAGGACTTTCCCCATTATGGAGAAACAACTGTGCAAGAAATCAAAGCTGTGTTCGGCCTTTAATTGTCAGGTGCATTTAAAAATAACCATCGTCAACTGATGGTACTGGTATGGAAATATTCCGTTCCACAATTAACCACAGGCGATTCGAATTTTTGGTATCTTATGCTTTGTTTGGCAGGTATTGGAAGAAAAACCAATTTAATTTATGTAATATTATGTAATAATAATATAATAATGGAATATTAGTTACGATTCTAGAATAGGTCAGGAGAGATGAGAAAATATTGCTATTATTTAAATATAATTAGAATTTTTATAAAATTAATGAATTTGCCAAAAGCATTCATTTTATTTTTTTCTATCGTCTCTATTTAAAAAGAAATATTTTAGTTCATTTTTTTTTTAATAATTTGCAGTCTGTATTTTTTAAAATTGTCTATATAAAATTGTGAAAAAAAATTGATAAGAGTTTGTCATAAATAAAGTTATAAAAGTAATTTTGGCTTAATGCATGTAATGACGCATATCAGTATTTTGCACACAATTTTTAAAAATGATATATGAGCCTACCAGCTTCGGATGAGAAAACTATATCCATCCTAACTACATAAGTAACAATTTGTAGAACTTTCAATATCTTACTTATTCATTATTTACATTTCAAAACAGTGTAATAAAAGGGTCCTTTTGCGAAGTTTATGTAACAGATAATATATTTAACTAATATGTAATATTAATATCCACTTGAATTATTATTTTTGTTGTTGTAGATATATATCACGGAGATAACAGGTTGTAATGCGAATTAAAAATCCTCAACCTTGTTAGAAATCAGTCAAAGCAGCTCTAGCATCATGACTGGGACCGTCTTTAGCTTAGTTCTTCTGATATGTGTCTTTGCAACAAATGTAGGTAAGTTTCACGTCAAAATTATGTAATACTGTGTCTTAATTTTTAAAAATATACCTTCTTACTTTCCTGCATCCAGTAAGTATATGAATCGTCATTTTCTCGACCACGAGTTTTCGTCAGATCTTCACGTTTCGGGGTCCCCTGAACCCGGTTTGACTATTTTCGCGATGATGTCTGTGTGTTTGTCCAGATTCATGAAAACTCAAAAACGAATAAAAGAAAACAGCAATAATAAAAATTTCCAAAATATTTATTAATGCTAAGATTCGTCTGTTTGCGGACGTTGTGGTCTATTGTGAAATGAATAGCATGCCTAACTTATGAATACTGTCACTAGCAAACAATATTTACACATGTTACAACTTTGTAAATTATAAAAAATGCATCCTGCCATGATCGGAAAAAATTGCAAATTTTCACAGGCATTTAAGACGATATTAGCGAGTATACTGTGATTTTGCAAGCATATTAATATTTTGATTGCTAAGTGTGATCAATTTATTTATTTATTTATATGGCTCGAAACAGACCATTTAGGTCTATGGCCTGGTTAATGTCTTCTATTCTTTCTTGTTCTTGGCTTTTTCTTTCCAGTTGATGATCTTTTTTCCCTTAATATCTTCTACGATCGATTTACTTTTTTTCCTTCTAGGCCTTCCTCTCTTTTTTCCCTTCCGGTGTTGTCCAAGCTACTCTTTTTACTGTCCTTAAGTCATCCATCCTTTCTAAGTGCCCCAACCATTGTAACCTTTTTGACTGCATTATTTCGTATATGTTGGGTTCGTTAAATATTTCGTAGATTTCTTTGGTTGTCTTTTCTATCCTTCTTCTGTCTTTTTGCTCCCATATATTCTTTTTAGTATCTTTTGTTCCCATATTTCATTCTTGGTCTGTTCTTTCTTATTTAGTGTCCATGTCTCACTGCCGTATAGCATTGTAGGTCTGATTATTGTTTTGTACACACATTTCTTTATTTTCCATGACAATTCTTTATATTTTAATAAGTTATGTAAAGCTCCTGCGCATCTATTGCTCTTTGCTAGACGGAGATCTATTTCAGCTTTTTCTTCGCATCATCTATTTGTAATGAGAACACCGAGGTACATGAAACTGTCTATTTCGTCATTTGATATTTTTCCTATGATTTTAGTTTGTAATTCTAGCTTTCCAGGATTTTTTATTAAATTTTGGCCATTTTCGCGATGATGTCTCTGTGTGTGTGTCCAGATTCATAATAACTCAAAAACAAATGTATAAAATATTAAGTTTTCAGTATTTTTGTTGGCAATGAAGATATGAAAATAATTTTTATCTTTATTCATATTCTAAACAGTTTCTGATTAGATGAACGTACTCATTAATAAATTTACATTAAAGTCATGTCATTGTGTAAATAACTACTAGTAGTATCACCTTAAAGAAGTATCATTATAGCCAAATGGATACTACCAATAGATGACGCTAGTGCATTTGGATATAGTAGAAAATCGCTTGAACGTGTTTCTCATCGGAGGGTTTAGATTTTAAGATTTTAGATTTGAATTTGTTTTACTCTCATATTCTTGATGATTGTGGTTTGTCGGTTGTGTTTGTTTACAGCAGCCATGTCAAACTCAAAGTCATACATAAAGAAATTTTTGACAATTTTTTACCTTTTTTTGAGAAGCTCCTCAGAAAAAGAACCTGATGTGGAGCGAGGGTAGCCATATGTGAGTAGTAGGGATTAAGTGTAAGGGTTAAAGAAAAGGTCCTTTATTTCTCACAAGTCACTTTAATTGGCGACCGGTCGAAACCGGTCGCCAATTAAATTGACTTGTGAGAAATAAAGGACCTTTTCTTTAACCCTTACACTTAAGAACCAGATGGTTTATAAAAAAAAATAAGAGAATGACCTTTATCTACCATAAATAAAAGATCTTGAAAAAAAAAAGGTACGTCAGATAATAAGCTGACATCTTGTTCTTTCACTTCTATAAAAAGGCGTATTTTTTCTTTGAGTTTCCAAAACCAATCGAGAACCATAGAAAACGAAAGCCAACTGATAAAAGACATACACAGAATTTTCTTTCCACTATATTTTTGATACACAATTCCAGGCATTCATTTAGATTTTTTAATTCTTTGAATTTTTTTATACAAGTAGAATAGTAGCCAAGCAGTTAGAACGTGTGCGAGATACTCTAATTCTATGTAATTGTATTTTTTTTTCTTATTCCAGATTCACATCCTAGAATTAAGGAACAAAATTTGACAGCATTAAGCAATGAAACGACTCATATCGAACATGTCACCAAAACTCATACATGGCACGCGAAACATTTATATTTTGTTCCATTTGCTAGGCCATTTAGAGAGTGAGTATTTACAGATAAAATATTTTTTAAATTAATACAGTGTGCTTCATAAAGTTGGATCTATATGTTTTTTTTTTAATAGTACGATTGGAATAGAACGTGGTAGGGCAATTACCTCTGCTTATATAAATACTTAAAATAGCCCATATCAAAGTTGGCTACTGACATTAGTTTTTTGTCAAATTCACATTAAAAAAAAGTCATTTTTTTTTAACTATTTTTTACAAAAATATTGAATTTGACAGATAGCAAATGTAGTAGCTAACTTTAATATGGCCTTTTAAGGTTTAATAAAACAGAAATGAATATCCTACAATCGTAATATTTAAAAATACCCATATGGATCAAACTTTATGGAACACACTATATATAGGGTAGCGAAAAAGTCTAGCAACAAGGTAATTTCTTTAAAATGAATGAATGTATAATTATGAAATTGTAGGGGGATAAATGGGATTGTATTCTGCATTTTTTAGAGGGTATGTCAAATTTATGTAACGTCAGCGTCTAACGTACCTCCGCCATCTTCAATTTTTTAAATGGCGATGTAGGTCAAGTGATATATCAGAGAATACTAAAAAAGTACCACATTACTAATGTAATACAGTCCCATTCATCATCCTAAAATACCTTGTTGCTATACTTTTTCGCTACCATGTATGTAAAAAAGCAATAAAAATGTAATACATCATATTCAACGCCCTATAATTTCATAATTAAACATTTATTCGTTTCAAAGAAAATACTAAAGTGCCAGGCATATTCGCTCCCCATTATTATCAGTATTATCAAGTATTATCAGAAAAGTCGATAATCGGATAAACCAGTGCAAGAAATATTTGACATTTGACATCATGTTGAGTGCAAAATTTCTGTTATAGTTTATTTGAAAATGCATGATTGCACAATTTTTATGGAAAAGATCTATACAAAGGATTGTTCAATGCAGAAAAAAATTAATATTGATTCCTTCTTTTCTGAATTTTCACTAGATTTTAGTATGACCACTCCAAAAAATCTCAAATACAATACATCATAAAATGTAAATGAGCAAACTTTAAGGGATAAACGAATAATTCTATACATCAGTGACGGGGAACACAAAATTACTTTAATATAAAAAATAGTAAACTGTCAATAATAAGTACCAACATTTATTTTTATAAAAATAGTATTACTAGATATTAGGTTAAGACAATTTCTTAAAATTTAATAAAAAATATACTCAACCAAATTTATATGATATACTAAAAAAAATCTTTGCAAAAAATATTTTTTCTCATATTTCGTTTTTAGATTCCATATAAATTTGTTTGTTTGTATTTCGGGTACTAGCGTTATATTTAAACTTATTATAATTAATATAAATATGAACGTACATACCCAAATAAATAAGTCGTTTTCTCCCGATAAGGAGTAATTATCTTCCCACAGAAATAATAATTGGTTCTATTGTTTCCTCTATTAACTTATAAAGTTTCCAGAATTTTTCTTCTTCTGCTATGACATGTCTTATAGCGTTTTGCCAATTGTCCAGTAACATTTTTGATATGCAGTCACATAATCCTAACTGAATGTGTAGCACTCCAGAATCCAAGGGCATTATATCTAGGAGGATATCAAATAGAAGAGGGAGATTTACCTAACTTGAAGCCACTTCAAATCCTACACTTCCTTGAGAAAATAGGATTGGAAGGGTCGTTTTAGGCACTGAGACATTTCCTTAGTGTATTGGCGACAGAAGGGGGCACAATAGATCTTTTAGGGCCCAGAACAACCCATTCCCAAAACAACATAACACATAATAGTTGACGAACATCTTACAGTTTAAATGTTATATTGTTTTTTCCGACATAAATTCATTCATTTGAGCCCAGATTAGTTCAATGGGGTTAAGTTGAAAGTGATAAGGTGGTAACCACAACACTTTAACTCCATGTTATTTTGCTATTTCATCTACACTATACCTATTAAATTTTGGTGAATGTTGTTTACATAACTGCAATAGCTCTTTTTTGAGTAATCTCTCTTCTGTCACTATTTCTTTGGTTATTAGCCAATTGGAGAATTCTTGGTTTTTTCATTTAGTGTTAATCTTGAATGGTTACTGGTATTGTCCATAACTATTACAGAATTGGTTGGTAATAAAACTAATATTTGACTGAAATATTCCTTAAAAACATCAGCAGTCATTTCTTCATGGTAGTCTTTCGTAGAATTTGAAACAAATTCTAACAGGCCTCTGTCAACAAATGCTGTATCTACTCCAATATGAGTGATAATTAAACGGCGACCTTTACCATTTGGAAATTTTAAGCCAGTAGACAAACCTTCTATAAATGCCTAACTAGCATTTGTAACCTGTTTATCTTGCCAAACTTTTTTTGCAAAATGTCCGTCCCATATCTATTGTTATTATTCAGTCATGCTCTAACCCTCCAAGTCCCTCTCTGTCTTATTTGGCCTTTAAGGCTCAACTTGTCTGATTATTATACATAATTAAACCCCTTAAGACCAAACCTATGTGACGTCTATGGCGGAGGTACTTTCGCGAACATTCCAGAGTCAACGGGATACTATTTCTAGTCTATTCCAAATATAACGTGATAGTGTTTCTAATTTTTGGAGAGAACGTTCTAGAACCTGAAGGAACCTTCACCATTATTTTAAATTGGTATATAAATATTGGTGGAGAATAACGCTGTATCAGTTATTTTATGGACAGTGAAGATAAATCGTGAACAGTTTAAAGACATTCGAAATATATATAAATTAGAATAATAGTGTTATAAAATAAATAAGTGTTTAAATAAATTATTGATAAATAAAGTGTTGTTTAAAATAAACAAACATCACACTATGTTTCATCCAAATAAAAAATATTTTTGTCTTTTCTTCTTAATTTTCTAATTTCACTTAAATATTTCCTCTTTTAACAAATAATTTTATCTTTCTCTATGAGCGCAGATTTTCTATCGTTCTTCTCTCAAACGAAGTCTAATTCATGTAAAGTTTTCAACAATTTGTCTGTTTTAACGTCTGTCAAAGCTTCGTCTCCATTGATGTCTACTAAAAGTTTATCCAAAGTACATATATTTTTTTTGTAAATAAAACGAATGCCCTTTTCTTCGAATCGGTTGTTTCATAGTCTATTTGAATGGGTTTTCGCCCAGTTGACGTTTTAGGTGCTATTGTAATACTTCTATTCTTTCGTTGCTTCAAAAGTCTATAAATGGTTGCTTCTCCAACTCCGGTAATATTTGAACACTTAGAAATTATACTTCGAACAGTACTATTGAAATGTTCATGTACAAGAGCGTCATGTACATTTAACACTAAAGTTTTCACACGCACGGTTAATTTGCACTTTAATTACTCATGAGTATAATTAGACGTTTGCGCCATTTTCATTGGATAAATTTACTTGATCAATATGGCCTTTTATCGCCTGTTATTACAGAACTAACAATTCTGCGTGTTACAATCACAGATTTATATAAACAGAAATGTAAATCTTAACTAAAATAATTTACAATCTGCATAACACTTTCTGTCGATTAGAAATTCTAATCCTTTCTAAGAAAGTTGAGGACTACTTAAATTGATCTTGAATTGTAAATATTTTGTACGTGTAGACCTTACATACATACCTTATTTTTGTTGATTAAAATGACTAGAAAATTTAAGTCAGGAATTGAAATAAATTGATATTTTATAAAATTTTAAGGTAGAAACCAAAGATTTATCTCCTGGGTCATTCATTTTCAAATAAACTATAGTATCTTAGTTTTATTATGTTTCATTATTTATGTTATTAGATATTTATGTAATGCATTTTTACTTGTTACAACTTGCAGTTGAGTCAAAATTCATGGAAATTAAAAAAAAAATCAAAATATTTGGACTGACAAGAGATATCAGTTTGAGGTTTGGACAGGTCAATAATTAATCTTATTTGCTGTTTTTAAGATGGTGATAGTTATTGTATTGTATTTGAAATTTCTCAGAAAAATTCATAAATAGAGCTAGGTCTTATATAACGCTCTCTAGTTGCCGATAGAAAGATTCACAGCTGTATGCATAGACATCTCTCGCAAGTTTTCATGTTATTTTATAGGGAAAAATTAGTGTTCATGTTCTTTTGTAGGGAAAAATTTGATATTCGTTCATTGTTTTTTGAGTTTTAAGAAATGAATCATGAATAACCTGCGAGAGATGCCGGTGAAAATCCCCAGCAAGTCGCCACCTTTTCGTGCTTTCGCCAGCGGATCACTGGTGATACGCCGAGATGAATCTCTGGCGAATCGCTGGCGATCGACTATGCATACGGGTGTAAATATTTTGTTGTTATATATGTTTCTGAAATTTACCTGTTTGAGAAAATCGGTTCAGGCATACCAACGAAAGTACACCACTTAAAAATAGGTGGTGATTCAGAAATATGACTTAAGTTGTAGAGTAAGAAGAGTAGGTTGATATTTTTACCGACATTAATAAAAGAATATTTTGTAAAAAACGTAATTTCATATTGTGCTACCGAGCGGAAAACTAAGAACTTTTTGGTTGAAAGAATTTTTTTCCCAAATTTCTAGGAGATACTATTTTTGAGATATCTCCGGTCACCGGTTCTCAATTCGTCGGAATATTTTTTTATGTATGTTCAGCGATAATTCTTTACCATGTTGTCCGATGCCTTTATATTTTTTTTGTTAGAAAAGGGGTATCTCAAGGGTGGTGCCATATAAATTTTGTCAAAATCTGATAATGGAATCTATGAGAAAATCATCAAACTCTTTATTTTTTTTTTATGTATGTTTAACGGTAATTCTTTACTCTTTGAGTACCTCGGAGGCATCTTATATACATTTGGTCAATATCTGATGAAGAAAATCAGTAAACTTCATTTGTGATGGCATGTGTACGATTTTGGATTCAGTTTTTTTAAAATTACTTTTATAACTTGTACATTCTACGTGCTCTAAATAATAATAATCAAAATTGATGTTTTAGCTCGGATTCTTCAGCTTGTAACGCCAGCTCTGGTGGCGACGACGACGATTTTCCATACTTTTTAACCGAAACTCAAATTCTACATGGAGGAATAATATTGGTTATTCTGATTGGTACATACGGCTTCACGTTATTGGCCGTTGTTTGCAATGATTATTTCTTACCTTGCGTTGAAACCATTTGTGAAAAATTAAATTTAACTCCTGTAAGTAACTTTTTTCTAATTTATATATGTCACATTGTGAAGAAAACTGTAATACGTCAGAAAAATTTTACACGATAGAACAAAAAGAATTTCCTAATTTCAAAATGAAAATGATAAAACTAAGTAAATTTATGGCAATTTAATCTATACAAAAAGCAAATTAAAGTATAATTTTAAAACTCATTAAGTTATCTTATAAAGCAAGTTTGTTGTTGAAATACAAGGATTTTTTTTAAAATTGATTCATTACAGTTTTCATCGAAAAATATTTATCATGGTTTAATCTATATCTGTAACGTGTGGAGGGTGAGTTAACCCACGGCTCGTAGGCCTCACTAGGCCCATTGTGCATCCTCCTTAATAGATAGACAACTCCTAGCTCGTGAGCCGGTCTATGCATTTGACAACGTCGCCAAGACTATTATTAATAATTTTTCAAAAATATTTTAAATTTTGTTACAACCCTCATTATCATACTACATGTTTTGCCGGACCAGCATGGCTTCATGAATAAAAATCTACCGTATCCAACCTGACTTGTATTACTCAGTATATCAGTGGAAAGTTAGATCAACAAAGTCAAGTAGATGTTATATTCAATGATTTTAGTAAAGCCTTTGATAAGCTCAACTACTGTTTACTAGTCAATAAACTTATCTTGTATGGGTTATCTTCAAATTTAATTTCTCTCTTTCAGTCATATCTAAATTAATGTTCAATATAAAGGTTTCAAAAAGCTCTATTTTTACAAAAGTCCGGTGTACCCCAAGGTTCAATATTAGGACCACTTCTCTTTAAAATTTTTATTAATGATAATTTTAAATATCTACTATATGCTGATGATCTAAAAATATATGTGGAGATACGTTTAATTGATGATTACAGAGAACTTCAGAAATCTTTAGAAAGAGTTATTGAGTGGTGTGAATCAAATATTTTGCCTTTAAATCCACCCAAGTGTAATACTATGACATTTAGCCAAAAAGTAAGGCCAATAGTATTCGACTACAGTTTAGATGGTACCATAATTAATAGAACTGATTGTATTAATGATCTTGGTGTGATACTTGACTCAAAATTAACGTTTTCCAAACATGTAGACAAAATTATATCGAGTGGTAATAAAATGTTTGGTTTTGTTATAAGAAATGACAGAGTTCAATAGCTTAGAAACTTTAAAACTTTTGTACCTTTGTTTTGTTAGATCTAGATTGGAATATGCCAGTGTAGTTTGAAACCATATGTATAATATTTATATTAACAACTTTGAAAAAATTCAGAGACGGTTCATGAAGTCGGCCTCGTACATTTTGGTTGGTCAATATCTTCCTAGAGGTTTTTCACATAGCGATTTGCTATCAAAATTTAATTTAACGGAACTAAAATATCGCAGAGCATCACATCAATTGCCCTTCCTACATAATCTTTTACATAATAAAGTGGACTGCATTGAGCTAATGAAATATATATCACTTAGAGTTCCTACACCAGGACTACGAATTTGTGTAAGTTTTCAACTAACAATTGCTAGGAGTAACACTCTATCTTCTTCGCCAATACATCAAATGCTCAAAGTTTATCATGATTTGGAGGATCGCGTAGATATATTTTGTACTAGCCCAAACAAAATAAAATCAATTCTTAATTTTCAAATTGTAAAATTGTAAATCATTTTTACAGACATACGTTTTTTCTCACATATTGTTTTTTTTTAAGCGTATGTCTTTAACTTATGCACAACATATTTTGATGCTTATGTTTACTTTTATGTTCTAACTTATTTTTGTTTTTTGTACATTTTCTCGGCACCCTATAATTGGCATGTTATCTTTTTATTCGTACCCCTTGCAGAGGGCTAATTCTGACAGCTCCATGATATGAAGATGCTTCCATACTTGGCAATGTCCATTCCGCACTTGGCAATGTCCATTCCGCACTTGGCAATGTCCATTCCGTATTTGGCAATGTCCAGTCAGAATGCCTGTGATCAAGCACAGATTCTGTCTAGTCAGAGTCAAGTATTTGTTTGCTGTAGTGTTGTCAGAATAACTTAAAAGCTTCCTGACATGTCTGCAGCTTCTTGTTTCATGGTTAAAAAGATACAACTTCTACAAATGCAAACATTTTTATTATAGATGAACTAGATAAAGTAAAAACACTAATATTCTCTTGATGTTACCAACAAAGTTGGAGAAAATTCTATACAGTTGTAATTTTTTTATTGTTTAATACACCAAAGGTTTTAATTAATTTTTAATATGCCTTCACTTTTTTGATAGATTTTATGTTGGTCTTTTTTTAATATCTGCTGGTACCGAAATTGTTTCTTTTCTTATGCTAAATTATAGTTAGTTCACTCAATTATGTCCAGAAGCTTATTTCTAAACAGTAAAACACTCAACATACACACATCCATACTTTCTACTAGTCCAACCAAGCAAAGACGTTGTCGTTCTTAACGTCTGTCCCGTCAAGTCGAGTGTGAATAGTTGCGATTGTAGTCGTGTTTCGTTGTGATTGGATGAGGGACATCGCCTGATGTTAGCATAATTTACTTTGCAGAGAAGGATATCGTATTGTCGTTTGTAGCTGTGTATATGTTTTAACGGATTTTATGAGTGTGACATTAAAACTTAAATTGCTGGTTATTTTCCATAAGGAAGATATATGTATTTGGCGCTCAAAATTCAGGCGTGTAAAGTGGCATAAATATATTATTTCCTGAAAATCAAAAACCAATAAATTGTGTTTCCTGTTGTTGTGCGGACAGAGCCGTCTTCAAATATTCTTTAAATTCGGTGATAAAATGTACTGAATGAATAATAAAATATATTGTTGTTCTTATGCCTATTACATATTATTTATACGGGGTGATTTATGTGGATTATAAATAGAGTAACTGAAGTATCTTTGAAAAGTCTGCTTTATAATTATATTGGACTTACTGCTGACATGCTTGTGTAATTTGGTTTCCTGTTAACCATCGAAGTTCTTTCATTCGTTGCCAGTTAAATATTATGACTGCCTTAATACATTGACATCTGCTACGTTTTACATTCATTTATACTGACGCTCTAATGCGTCAAGGAATAAAAAATATAGAGATAAATAAAAAATGTTTTTAAAGTAGGCACGAAATTAGAGTCATGTTAGTAGTGTGCACACGTTTTGTTTCATTTTTAAATGATAGTTGAAGCTAGGCTAAGCTGGCTTAGGCCACTAGATGGTTAAAATTTAAGTAGTAATGGGATGGATACAGTTTTAAAGAAAACTAAAGTGTTTTAATCAAGAACATCACCCTGTATAATAATCAGACATGTATTCAGACGTTTACAATGTCAATTGTTTACTTATTTTGATGCAGACGAGTAATCCCATTATATTACGTTACACATTAAATAAACATTTAATTGAGAAATTTTCTTTACAGGCAATATATAGGAATTACAGAAATGTTTTGTCTTTTCTAGATATCAAGGTAGCTGAATCATTTTTAGATATATATAATCAGTTTTTACACACACTCGTATATTGAAGTAATCGAGGTTGTATTAATTAGATAAAGTTCAGTGCATAATCACAGATTACCCTAGATGTGAAACCCGGCAAAAGATCAAAGGATTTTGAAATGAAAATTCTACGATCTTGACATTTTAAATCGGTATGGCATAGGTGTTTTTAAACATTTTCAATTAATCTGGCTAAACATTGTTGCCAAATAACATTTTTTTACTGTTGTACGTAAAATAAAAAGAAAACCATCAAGTTAATTTCTTTAAAATATGTATTATTTTTTAGGATGTTGCAGCTGCCACATTCATGTCTATTGCTACATCTACTCCGGAATTTTTTACCAACAGTATAGGTACTTTTATTACGGAATCCGATTTGGGTATCGGTACGATTGTAGGTTCGTCAATGTTTAATGCTTTGGGTGTCCCCGCTATTGGAGGATTAGCCAGTGTTAGAGTAAGTATTAATTGTTAGTTACACATACATACATACATACACACATAATGAATAATGAATGGTCATTATAAATATTGACTAAATTGTCTATACAATGTGATACATTAATCAATTTATCCGGATATTATTCATATAATAGCAGATCAAAGTTAGTCAAATCAAAATAAATACTGTCTCTTTTCCCTTCCTTTCCTTATTCTGTTGCACGTGGTGTGATTACCACGATTTCTTGGCTTGACTGAGGCTGAGGCTGATGCAAGTTGCAGTTGCAGTTTGCAGTAGTGTTCGTTGTTGTTTTGTTATGAGAGGTATCACCGCGTGTGCTGCAATTTCCAATATTTGTTTACATTTGTATCGGTGTCTAATGATAGCAGATCATATGAAAAAACGTTTCTATGAATCTATTTTAGTACTTAATGCAAGTAAAGGAAAAAAAAATAATCATTTGTTTACAAATGATCAATATTCGTCTTTAATTATAAAAGTAAAAGAAACAAAACACCTGAAGATTACCAGTGGTTAGCAAGATACGATGTAATCAAAAGTGGAACATCAGGAAAACTCGTAATTTAGTTAAAAAACGAAGGTGATCCCATTATTTACTATGCTCACTTAGACGAAACTTTTCAAATAATCCACCAATGTAGTATTAGTATTAGATGTGGTATAATTTGTGACCAATCTTTTTGAAACACCCTGTATATTATGCTACTACTCGTCTTTTTCTTTCTCTTATTCCTCTTCTACTATATCTTCGCTAATGTCATCGTCTCTATCCATAGTTGTTGACTTTAAGAAACTAGAAATATCTAACAAACTAAGTACTACTTTAGAGAAAGGTTTTCGTCTTTTGAGGACTTTGACCCTATGAAATGATATCACGAGATCAGACGACACTAACATATAGTTAAAAATATCTGGTTTTTCTAGCGTGAAATAATCTTAGATGTTTAAAATATTTATGTCTTGCCTCTAGAAAACGTCTTCTATTAGTTGTCTAACAGTTATATAATCTATAATATCATAGCCATGGATAAGTACTTAGGGTTCGGGGCCTGTCATAGCCTTCTCGGGCTAATTCATCGGCCTTTTCGTTGCCCTGATATCCCTCATGGCCTGGAACCCAGGCTAAGGTCACCTTATTTTGACTACTTAGCTCTGTCAGGTCTTCTAAACAGTCTTTCACCAATCGTGATTTCATTTCTGGTGAGAGAATTGTCTTTAGAGCTGCTTGGCTATCAGAGTCACAGATCTAGAGTGTTAGGAGATAGGCTATGCAATGAACCAAAAAAGTTTATTATAGTGAGCCGCCATCTTTTTATTTTTGGGATTAGCGAGCATGCGCAGAAAGGAGTAAACAGGTCTGAACGTAGAATATTAGACAAAATAACTATTTTGTTTGTTTATATTATATGTGTCCTTTCTTTAACTAATATTAACCAAAAAACATCTGTAAAAGTGTTTATATTTAGTGAATGTTAAAAACAATATTTATTTCACTACATCACATAAAATTTGCTAAAATAATCAGTTATTTAACTTTTACATATAGCTTTAGATATAAATTCATAAAAAGAAATAAAACCATTAATATTTTTTTTTATAAATTAACTGTTGTTTTGGGAAAAATGTAGTTCTAATAAATTTTACAAATATATACATCTGTGTATGTTACAACAAAAGTTATGTAGATTACATTTGCTAATAACATAAATCACATAAATAAAACTAATGTGACCCAATTCTTAAAGAAACTTAAACTTCTGGAAGACAAAGCTTTATCAGGTAATCTAAAAAAGAATATGTCAAATAAGTTTATAGAAAAATAAAACTTCCTAACTGTTAAAGTTATTATAGGATTTATATAAAACAAAATTCTAGAACTAAAATAAAAAATGTACAGCATGTCTATTAAACAACAACCTTTGCAGCATAAAATATATTTATACTTCATAATTAATTTGAGTTTCTATCAATCTTTTTGGGAAGGTGGAAACCAATGTTATCTATATCTCTGCTACAACCAGTAATTTTGGTTACATTATCTAAAGATATATCCCTAAAAGGGTCCAATTTTATTATTTAGGTATATCAGATTATTTTGATTAAAAGTAAACATATTGGAGAACAAGGCTTGAGGAGTATCAACCTTCCAATAACATTTAATTTACTTAAATCTTTCTGACACATTCAAATATAAAATTTTCAGTAATCTATGTGTGTATATACTTGCGTATAACAAAAAAATACTTTATTAAATTACCTCAATTTTTTTCTTTGGACTAATTTGTTGAGAAAAACAGTTTTGAAAGTACTTTGATGATAACTTTTTTATTGCCTGTCCTAATTATATCAGATTCGTAAAAGTGTTTGAGCAAATTCTATTTGTAGTGCTAATATTTGCGCTGGTACTTCTTTCAATAGCCCTTAACCAGACAGACTACCGTTTCTTTTCGAGACTAGAAAATTCAAGGTAAATTATAAATATACAAATATATGACAATAAATATAATATTCTCAATAAACAATTATTGAGAGAAGGCAAACCAAACATAAATTATTAAAAATATTACAATAGATTAATACAGAGAAGTAAACTGGTGCATTCGTAAATCCAATAGTATCGGCTACCTCTAATATCATAATTTACGACTAAACATGTTTTAATCATATTAAAATGATAAAAATAATACCAGAAAACACTCAGTAATAGAATTTATTAATAAAAACCGATAAATAAACCAGAAAAACTATAAATAATCATGACAGCTGATGCAACTGACACATGAAATTGAATTTGTTCTACTGCGCAAACTCCTCAATCCCAAGTTTGATCAACATGGCGGCGCCCTATAATAAACGTATAAATATATTAAATACTTTAATTTTTTTTTATTAACTAAAATTTCATTTAATTTTTTTATGCTTAGTTATTAGTGTTATAACTTACTGCAATGTTTCTTTTTGCAGCAGGTGGTGTTCCAAAAACAGTTGAATCAGAACTAAAAACCCATACATTAGATATACACTATTGGACAAAAGTGAAGCAACTTTTATGATAATATCAAATATTTAATTATTTAAAATAACACGATCAACCGTGAGAATCAAAATTTATGTAGTTTAAGTGGTCATAATAGGCTGCTATGATAGGTGAAATGGGATTGTTTGCAAATGTCAAATAAGTTAGTATGTAATAATTTATTTCAACAATACCCTTTATTATCGCGACAAAAGTATAACAACTTTTATGAAAAAATTTTGTATTTCATTTAACAACTGAAAAATCACAAATATGGTTGAAGGGTTAAAACAAAATAAGAACAAATTCTTAATAATTAATAGGATATCCATTATTAGATATAACTTTTTGGCAACGGCGCGGCATTGATGAAATTAAGTTTTGGATAGTAATATCCGGCATATTAATCCAAACTTCATTAATTTTATCAATTAAGGACTGTTTATTTGGGAATCTTGTAGTCCGAATACGACGTTCAACCTCTTCCCAAAGGTTCTCAATGGGGTTGAGGTCTGGTGATTGGGCCGGCCACCTAAGAACCTGGACATTGTTCTCCTGAAACCATTCCTGAACAAGGCGAGACGAATGTTTCGGATCGTTGTCCTGTTGGAATATAAATTGCAAAGGCATCTCCCGCTGAGCATAGGGAAACATAACGTTTTGGAGTATGTCTCTGTAGACGAAGCGATCCATAATTCCGTCTATAAAATGTAGTGGGCCTACTCTGCTCCACGAAAAACAACCCCATACAAATACACTACCTTGTCCGTGCTTTATTGTTGGCGTAACATACTTTGGGTGAAATCTCATATTAACCGGACGCCTGACACGCTTCATTCCATCAGAATTAAAAATTTTATAACGACTTTCGTCGCTAAACAATACTTTTCCCCAATCTTGCACTGTCCAGTTCAAATGTTGTTGCGCAAATTCAAGTCTGGCACGGCGATTTATTTCAGAAACCAACGGTTTCTTGGCAGGACGTCTGCTATAAAGTTTCGCCTCAACTAATCGTCGTTGAACAGTCCTCGCACTGACTTCCAGTTCGGGAATTTCAGCAATTATCCTTGGTCCTGACAACCACGGATCTCTTTGAGAAATTCTTTTGATTCTCCTATCCATCCAAAATGTAGTTTTCCTGGGCCTTCCTGATTTCGGCATTTTTTCTACATGTCCTCTTTCATTATAACGTGAAATTATTTTTGAGACACTATATTTGGGCAAGTCGAACTGTTTGGAAATCGCAATCTTACTCTTCCCTTCTAAAAAGGCGTTTACGACCATTTCTTGTACCTCCGTACAGATTCGTTTTCCTTTTGGCATATTTAATTCTGTAAATATTAGAGCTGTTAAGCTTAATTGAATTGAAAAACGTCATTTTAGAACTTTACCTGTATCATAAACCATTTTCCTGTAAACCAAATCAAAGAGTTGCTATACTTTTGTCGCGATAATAAAAGGTCTAGTTGAAATAAATTATTACATACTAACTTATTTGACATTTGCAAACAATCCCATGTCACATATGACTGCAGCCTACTATGACCACTTAAATTAAATTATTTTTAATTTCCGTGGTTGCTCATTTTATTTTAAATAATTAAATATTTTATTTTACTATAAAAGTTGCTTCACTTTTGTCCAATAGTGTACATACATAGGTAATAAATAATGTTTAGAGGTAAACAAAAAAATAATATTTTGTATTTTTACCTGTTGGATAAGTCATCCAAAAATAGAAAGCCCTCACACCGTCTGGAGTTTCAATCTTTTCTGATATATCTAGTTCCATTTGCACGTACCAAAACATTTTCAGGAAAACAGTGTTCTAAACACAACTCTGGGTTTTTACGAAGGGGCTGATTTTCAAGGATCCCTATTAGAGAAAACCAAAGTTTTCTTTTCTCAGGATCTTGCGGAAAACTAAATAGAATATTAAAAAATATGTATAGGTGCTCAATAGGTAAATCATTTTTAAGGTATTCTACATTTTACGTTAAATTTTCTTTGCCACTATTCAATAATTATTTATTGGTATAAGAAAAATTTACTAATTTATAAAAGGAATAGCGCTATAAAAACTGTTTTAGACTACACAAGTTTTTGATACAATTTCTTGTACAATATAAATTGTATATTATCAAACCTGCAGTAAATTGTTTGAAAAATTAGATTGGATAATAATTTTTCAAACAATTTATTATGTGATCCTATATAATTTAAATTCTATAAGAAATTGTATCAAATCTTGTACAAAAAATGGAGTAGGGCACCGTCTTAAGGCTGTTTTGACTATTCAAGACTATTTAAGACGGTGCCCTACTCCATTGTTCAAATGAAAATAACATATCTTAACCTAAAAATACTTACCGATGAAACCATACATTTCGATTTAAATGATCTACCTTATTGAACACTACACATGCATGTACCATAATTCTTTATATTTCTCACAAAAGTTCACAAAAATAGTATTTTATAAATGAATAAATCAATAAGTCACACAGAGACTGTCAGAAATACAAAATAGCTGTTAGACCCGATTGGCAACGTTGCGGCTGGTTACGGTAACTACTTTTCATTCATAAAAATTGTAAATTCGTAAAATAAGATATTCAGCGTTGCCATATTTACGGAGTTCTTTGCAACCCTAATATTTTGTTTAGATTAATATTGATTTTTTAATAAAAAATTTAGCTTATATTAAAACTTCAAAGAATAATTTGATTAAAAACATATTTTTATTTATATAATATAAAATTATAGTTATAGGATACATCAAATTTTATTTTTGAAAGTAATTTCTCCAAATAATTTTTACAGACTGATAAAATCGGCAAAGAAGCAATAAACGAGAATCTGGTGGGAATAATGATTTGCCACATAGAAATGTAAACAATTTGGTCTCTTAGTTGTAATGTCTTTGATAAAAAGATATTTCGAGTAAGAAGTGTGTGAAAAATGTATGTATCCTCTAAACATTTACAGAGGTTATGCAATAGGTTGTATAAAATAACAAGAAAAAACATGGAAAGTCATTGTTGGACACATCATACTGATAATAAAGTTGCCTTGCTACGTAAAGGCATATTCATGATCTTATTTGTTAACGTAATATTTAAAATGAGTAGTACTTATAGTTATAATCTGTTTTTTTTACTTTTAGCCACTACAACTTGATTGGTACCCTCTTACTCGAGACACACTTATTTACATTATCGCTGTGAGCATTTTAATTTATATTTCATGGGATGGAAACATTTATTGGTACGAGACTCTCATTTCTCTTGCGTTCTATATTATATACTTCGTCATAATGATCAATAACAAGCGGATTTCCAAGTTCGTTAGAAAATTATTAAACAAAGAAGAAATTAACGTCACAACTGCCAATGACCAACTCAAAGACGTCATCGAAAGTGTAGAAAAGAAAAGAAAAAGTCATAATGTAAACGATGACGATCTTCCTAAATTATCGCACCTTTCCGCTTATGGTACGTACATGGATGGACACGCCGACCCAAATTATGAAAATGAACATCAAAAGGTTTTAGAAACTATTCAAGAAGAAGTTAAGAAAGGTAAGATCATGGGAGAAGGATAAATAAGAATTGCCGATTCTTTATAGACATTTGGCGATAGATGGGATAGTTTTGTACAACTAATACTTTTAGTTTAAAAATTGGCGGGCTATTGAATTTACTTCTACACTAATTAAAATTTTGCATTTTGAATAGTATTTTTTTAAAACGCATGAGATGCTTGTTATAAAAATGCTAATAAAATTGTAAAATTTTATGATAAATAATTGTGCCAAATAAATTTATAATAATTAATAATTAACTAAATATTATTTGTAGAATGTTTGAATACAATAATAAACATAATATACAGTTTCTAAATAAAAAATATTTAGAATAACAAACACGAAACAAACAAAATTTTTCCTTAATCGTGGACAATAAAACAAGAGTTCCATAAAAAAAACGCTGAAAGCGAAAAACTTTTAAAACAAATTGTTACACATTACTTTTGCAGCAATTAAACTAATTTTTAATTTACTTACATCCAAACTTTCACATTTATATATAAGTAGGATTATTTATTTGCCTAATGACTGTGTTAAATACCTTATTCTTTATATTAAAGGGTGTTTATTTTTATTTAAATACAAATTTTTTATTAAAAACATAACCTTTAACACGTTTAAATAATGCACTTAAAATCATTTTAAATATATTTTCAGAGGCAGAAAAATCCATCTTTAGAAAACCGATGGGCAACATTTTTCAAAAATTTATGTTCTATTATACTTGGCCATTAAAGTTACTCCTTAAGTACACTGTACCGAATCCAGCAGTGTATCCAAATTTTTTTCCTGTTACTTTTATCATGTGTATAGTTTGGATTGGTGCTAACTCATATGTTGTATCTTGGATGATAAGTATTATTGGTAAGTATTGGTTTTCGAATATCATTTTTTTAAGAACATTTTGTTGTTTCCAGACGAATTATGTAAATTTCATTCAATTTAAAGGAGGATTTAGTTACGTAAAATATAGATGCATAATTTTCAAAAAACAACAAAATGTTCTCAACAAATACTCACCCATTATTACCATTAAAAATTAATAATTACTTTTTAGATTAAATTTTCTAGAAAAAATATAGTCAAATGGATCTGTCAAATTAAATGCACCAAAATAGTTTTTTTTAATTTTGACATATAAAGCGTCAAATTTTACGCAACCAGCTACATAATGTTGGTTTCAAAAAATTTATTATGTCACTAAATGCGAAAAGAAAACAAATAAAAATATATCTCCTTTTGTTTTAAAATCAATAATATACATTATTATTGAAAAGTAATATCAAAGAATGGCAGGTTGACATTTAAAATTACAATTTTGTCAAACTTACAACCTAGTGATTATGTTGTTTTGGTCCTTATTTTCCATTCTAAATCAACACAAAATAATTTAAACACATACACGACAAAATAACCCATTTTATCGAAAACCAAATAGAGTTAATAAGCCATATAAACCACTACAAGTCGTTAAGAATAAATAATTAAAATATTATGTTCTGTCAATAAAATAATGCATATGGAACTAACAATACAAGAAAGTAGTAATATTGGTTGCCTAAATGTCAAGTTTCTAACTAAAACACAATTTTATGAATAATCTAGTCAAAATTAGAAGAAAATATTGCTTAATACGTTACGAAATGCCGTTTTATGTAAGTCGTTCATGCTCGTCCCGCAAATATTCACTCGTTACATAAAATAGGGCATTTCGCAACTGGTTTCATAAATAGCTATTAGGAAAAATTCATGATAGGAAAAAGGAAAACTAAGTGATAAAGTACTTGTATAATGAAAATCCCATAAAAATAGCATTGTTTATTCATACATTCTCATACCTATACTATAGAGTATAAATTAACGTACAAAAATTTGTGTTTAAATGTCTACTTTTAACAGTGGTTGTAGATAAAGTATATTATATAGACAGAAATTTTAAAACTTTATTTGTAGAGGCAGTGGATTATCTCATGAAGATGCAACACTGTACGAATTTACAGACAAACTGCTCTATTAACATTTCTAAAACAATCCGCATTTCTATTCGAAGCAGCAGCGTACGATAAAACATCGTATCTAGACAATTTTGTTATAGTCCAGTGAAGTGTGTTTGTATTATTAGTTTATTTTGGTTTTATATTTAGAGAATTAATTTTATGATTGAATTGGTTAATTAACTGAATATTATTTGTAAAAACAATTTATGTAGTAAGTGAGCTGTTTCCTTTAAGAAAAGATGAATTAATTTGGTTTAATCAAATACTAAAAATAATCAAACATGAGTAATATCAAGAAAGTGGTTCACAGCCAAGGTCGCGAAATCATTTATAATGTATATACCTATATGAAAACCAAGAGAGAACAGGGTCTTCAACTACCTTCAAACAATCTAAACGATAGAGTAGCTGAAGCTTGTGGAGTGTCAGTACAGTGAGACGCATTGTTAAAGAAGCTAATAGGAAATCACCTGGTAGTCCTTTTAAGTCGCAAAGGAAAAATATACAGGAACCTTCAATTTCCAAAGGATCTATTGACGAATTTGAGGAAGAAATTATTAGAAGAATTATTTATTCATATGCAGCTATACATAAAAGAATACCTGCAATGAAAACACTATTTAAAGAAGTTAAAAATGAAGTAGGAATTAATTTTACAGGAAAAATAGATTCTTTTAGAAAGTGAATAAAAAAAATGGGATTTAGGTGGAGAAAGAAGATAATCGAAAAATGTTAATGGAGAAATATAATATAAAAGCAAAACGATCTAAATATTTAAGAAAGTTAAAACAGTACAAAGATGAAGGACGTACCATTATATATTGCGATGAAACTTACATCCACAGTTCGCATACCGTACCTAAGACATGAAACAACGGCAAAAATAAATGCTTAAAATCACCAGTCTCCAAAGGTCAACGACTAATAATTTTACATGCTGGAGGGGCAACATGATTCGTACCTGAGGCATTACTGTTATCCAAATCGGGAAACAAAACGGGGACTATCATGACGAAATGAACAGCAAAAATTTTACGAAATGATTGAACGAAAAATTATTACCTAACGCTCCAACAAATTCCGTACTGATGTTAGATAACGCATCATATCACAATACATTGATGGAGTCGCTTCCAAATTATTCATGGAAAAAAGAGGATATACAGAAGTGGTTAACGGAGAGAGGTATATTTTTTGAAGCGAAGGTGATCAAAGCTGAACTGTATTCCGTCATAAAAATACATAAGCCAAATACTAAAAAATATATTGTTGACACAATGCTAGCAGAAAATGGAATGTTAACACTGCGTTTGCATCCAGAGCTTAACCCAATAGAGAAAATATGGGCACTTGTGAAGAATGAAGTGGCTGCCTGTAACACTTCTTTCAAACTGAGCGATGTGTGGAAATATTAACAGAAGAAAAATTTAGTTGTGTGTTAACTATACACTGGGAAAATATTTGTGCTCACGTAGAAAACATTGAAAAGGAATATATGGAAAGGGAGCATATTATAGATAAGGTAGAAGATCTAATAATACATTTGGGAGAAGATAGCAGCGACAGTGAGTCTACATCGTCAGAAAATACACTGGATGAATATGAAGATAATTTGGCCGATTTGGGTTGCCAATTATTAGATTAATTTAATAAAATTATGACTTTTGGGTGCCATGCTGGTATATAAAAAAATAAAATATTCGTTTTTTTTAATCAGAAATAAAATAATTACATTTCATTTTTAACAACTTTTATTTACATTATTTTGAAAAATTGAGAATAAATAGTATTTTTCGATCTACCTTGTAAAAGAGTAACCAGCCATTTGATTTTTTATCGCAATTAAAAAGGTTCGAAATTATGATCTTCCCAATTCAAGTACAATTTTCCAAATACTCACTACAATGTTGACTGGACTTTTCACGTGCGTAGATGAGTCAATGTTTGCAGCGTTCACTTTCTCATTTTGTGTGCTATTAATGCCTAGTTTTCGTGTAGTGTTTTATCGTTCATAAAATAATCCACTGCTGTTCTAAACTCATTTCTACCATAAAAACTAATTTAAATTTCTAATTTCTAGGTACAATTACCCATTTACAAGATGCTCTACTGGGTATGACCATCATGGCAGTAGGAGGATGTTTACCTGAAACAGTGTCAATGACAATTTTAGCTCGGAGAGGTAAAGTTATATAATTTTATTGATTTTTTAAGAATCAAATGTTTAATAGAAAATAGTTATTTATGCAAGAAGTGCAAAAAGTAAGTGTTTATTGTACGCGACGTGAAATTGTCTAACGAGGCAATAAACACTTTTTGTACGAGTTGCATACAATATTGTTTCTACGTTCATGCAAAAACCAAAAAATGTTTCATAGAACTGCAGTTGTATTATCCAAATCATAGTAGCCGTAATCGTGTACCTTTGTTTGAAGCATTTATTTACGTTTGTGTTCATAATTTGTAATGACATTTTTAATAAAATGCATTTTTTTATTAATTGATTTATTAAATGATTGAAAATAATATAAAATATGCAATTGTTTTTAAAACGTAACACAGAAAATGAAAATGGACTAAATATTTGGCGTTGATTTGAATATTTATGTTTGTCATGATCATAAAACGCTGTAGTAAAATGACAGATGAGTGCAATAACATTTTTATTGCACTAGTGCAATAAAGAACCCGTTTTTTCACTAAATATAGTTCAATAAAGTTTTGTTTTTTTCATGAACGTAGAAAAAAGGAATAATTTTACTTCATTAATATAAGGTAAAGTTGTTTTTCATCTGATTTAGAATCGAAATTGGATAACGAGGGGAAACCTAGTACAGTTCGAAAAGATATTGAAAAACCTTTCTCTGAGTCTAGAAATGACAAAGTTAAAGACTTTTGAGGGGGGATGAGATGGCTCAGTGGTTAGAGTCATGATTTTGAGATCGAAAGGTCTCAGGATCGAATCCCACCGGTGGCATGAATTTTTAATAAAAAA